ATCCACTGATAGTTCCAAGATTTAATACTAGGTTTATGAAAGATTCCCTTACCTATAGAGGTGCAATCTTTTGGAATACTATAGGCTTAAATGAACGTAATATCTTGCACAAAAACCCGAATGAGCTGTTTCGAAATTTCAAAACAAAGCCTTATCTTAGAGATTTTAAATTTAATATTGCTTTAGCTTCACCTGTCCGCCATAAAAATGATGACTCTCTATTTTTGATTAAGATGTTAGTGCTAGCCTTTTACTTATTTAGCTGGTCTTCTTCTTGTTTAAATTATGTGTAAACTAAATACACGACCCCTCAAGCCGTTAGCTTTAATTATTATCGTGTTTAAGTAAAGGTCTTATCTTCAGTGACAGAAGGGCACACGCAGCCACACGAACACAAATGAATATGGAATTAAAACTTGTCCTTTATTTATTCTTTTAAGTTTTTGCAACAAAGGGAAGTGAGGGCAGCAGGACCGGACGGCTTTTTCCAGACTGGCTCAAGTCAACCCGTCCGTACGGCACACGTTAGCTTTCTCTCAGAGGGTTGCGCGAGCGGGGCCGGACCGGTCATGTGGATAGAGCGGTATAACTCACTCTGGGCCAAGGGGTCTGGGTTCGAGACTTGGATCTTGTCTGGTCTCTCCACCAAGGAGCATAGCTAATAATAGTAATATTAATGGTACTACCACTACCACGACCATAACCACTACTACTACTACTAATGATAATAATGATAGTGATAACAATAATGATGATAATAGTAATAACAAAAAAGCTTATCAAAGTGTCGAAATACTTTAATATGCCATAGGGGCAGGAGCCCATCTCCAGATAGGGGCTAATTGCGAACACGAGCGAATCACAAGGGAAGCTCGATAAAAGGCTGGTAGGGGGAGAGCCGTAGTTCCAGTCACTTCACACTACAGAAATCGGGATAAGCTGAGATTCCTTTATGTCTAGCTCCTAATTATTCAAAAAGAAGAGAAGGGTGCAAAACTGTTGTCAAAAACTGCTAGGTTGCCAAACACAATTCAAAGTTGTAGCATCTGTATTTCAGCACATTCAAGACAGTTTTAAAATGGTGGTATTACACTTTGGTCGGTGTCCTACTTCCAGAATAAGACTAGAAAGATAGAAACTTCAAAAGCGCGTGGGACGAGAAGGGCTAAGGGAAGGTGTACACTATATGAGTCATACATGACACTTAATGCCAAGTCTTCAAGTCTTACCCAGACTGCTCTCCTCTAGCGCCTGCGTGTAATCTTGTGACGTCAGCGGATCTTCCATCCAAAATGTACCTCCACGAATGCGTCTCAGATTTTATTGGACTTTCAACAATTTAAAATTCTTCCTTTTCCTTTTAAAAATGCATGGTCAGAAAATTTCAGGCTGAAAGTTAAGTTCTGAAACAATCATCTTGAGTAATTTTGCAATCGGCTTCTACTTTTTCATGTCAAAAGTTGAAGATCTAAAGCAGATGTCTACCCGAAATGGCGTGTACATTGTTCAAGGGGAAATGTCTCTTGTTGTGGCGGCTTTACGAAGAAATGTTCGTGGGGTCTCTCACAGTCACCAGGTATGGTTTATCGTTGTTTACTGGGAATTAATTTGATATCCTAAACCAAAATCGCCTTAAATCTGGACAGCGATCAATTACTTACTTCGATGAACCGGCATTATATTGATACTTTTTCCTAATCTAAAAATTAATTTTGATGAGGTTTGCATTGGCTTGGCTCTGAACCATGTAGTTTGAATTTGTCGTTTTTGAATTATATTTCTGTTTTTAATCATTGCAGTTGTTTTAAAATTGGTTATGTCATTGAAGGGTGCCTTGCCATTTAAAATACTCACTTTACTAGTGAGTGATCAATTGAAGCCTTCTCTACTCAGTCTCTCCTCTAACTGTATTGGAGGAAGGGGCACTAAAAATTTATCTGATATGTATTTCTACTACAGTATGATATTCATCTTTTTTATTACAAATACAGGATGAAGAACAAGATCCATTACTTCATGGATTTTCTCAACTTAAGGACCAGCTTGTCACTATTTCTGGTTAGTATTTGTAGAATACAGACACAAGAGCGAATCCTGTTCCCTTAGGAAACAGGTTTTTACAAAATTATGAATCGATTGTTTTCTAGTATGGGTAAACCTGTGGCCAAAATTGACTTAACCCATTAATGGCCGCAGCTTTTGTGGAAAACTGTGTTTTGAAGCTAGTCGAGCAGATTTCGG